GGCCCATATAAATATGTTAGTGGCACGAAATAAATATTATTGAATCCTTTCAAAGACTCCAGAGTGGCGATTTCTGCTTGGCGACAAGGGAGGAAAGACTTGAGAGCTGGAGAAACCCCTCCCCGCCGTCCCAAGGCCAGAAGAGCCCACAAACTAGAGCAAGCCTGGGGTGACACCAGATTCCCTCAAGGTATAGGCATCACCGTGCGTGAAGAGAAATGGCAAAAGTCATAGTCAATGAGGGTTTCACGAAACGGCCACGCCGGCCCACACCGTGACAGCTTTGTGAGTTGTTTCTTTAAAATAGCAGACGTTTAAAAAGCAGTTCCTTAAAAACCAGATGACCCATCTGTAGCTTTCCTCTTCCTAAGGCTTGCAAAGATGCCCCCCAAGTTACTGCCAATTTAGTCCGTGGGGGGAAGCAGGGAACAGTACGTTAGTGGAACACAGGGAAATCACGTTGTTCCCAGGAGACTGGAGAGAAAAAAAGCTAAAAAGCCGTAATACGCCCTGCTGGTGAAGATGTAGGGAAAGGGCACTTTCCTATGGGACTGGCAGAAAGGCAAATCTCATGGTGGCCCTTCTGGAAATTAGTTTGGTGACATTTAATAAAAGTGAAAGTGTGCAAACCCTTTGATTCAGCGGTCCCATTCCTGGGACTTTATCCCTGAGGAGTAAAACCTCCAGGAAACCAAGCAAATGGCCATCAGTAGAAAAATGGCCTAAAAGTTGTGGTCGAGAATCTCAACTTGTCGGCTCATCCCTCCCGCCCCCCAACCTTCCCCACTGCCTCAGCCTTGATTCCCTCTCAGCCCACCCCCTGGGACCCTACACAGGGAGGGGATGAGTCACAAGGAACCAGGGCTGGCGACGCAAAGCTTAAAGCAGGCTAGTCAGGAGGGACAAAGGAGCGACATTTCCTGGATACGGAAACTCGGGTGAGAGACGACCTACTGCAGGAAACACTCGGCTGGGGCCCCGCCAAGCCAGGGCAGGGGGGTCAGCCAGGCCAGGCCGCCCAGACGGGCCAGTCTGGAGGCCCCAAGGAAGTGAGGACGTCCCTGACCCTAAGCCTACTGCCTGGGTAGCTAGGGACCTGGAGAGGACGCTGACACCCGCCAGTCCCAGCAACCACAGGATGTCTGAGTTTGGGTCCCGGGGCCAGACATCCCTGGATTCAAATCTTGACTCCGTTGGTCTCAGCCTCCCTCTTCTCATCTGAGAAATAATCATTCTAAACTTTCTGGACACGTGGGCACAGGTCTGACTTTTGGTTGGTCTCTCCCATCCAGAGCATCCCAGGATGTCATCCCTCCAGCTGGCCCCCACTCCCAGCCCTGTTGGTCCAGAGAGACCTTTCCATCATGGGATCTGACCATGTCCCTCTCTGGCTCACACACCCTCCATGGCTCCCCATTACCCTGGGAACAAAGTCCAGCTCCTCATCGGCTCTTATGTCCCTCCCCTCACCCTCACTCCCACCTCCAATGCGGCTCTTGCCTCCAGCTGCCCTGGACCTTTACTTATCTGGCTAAAGAGTATCTCTAAATTTGTGCTGTCAGATTACAATGCCTTTTTCTTGGCAAATTCTTCTTTCTCCAAGGCCCGCCCCCAGAGATCCCTCCTCCAGGCAGCCCTCCTGATTGCCCCAGATATAGCCCTTGCTCCCCCTGGGGGAATCCCCAGCTCCGTCCCTCCCTTTTTATAGACCCAGAACATGTAGCTCTGACTCCCCCGAGTTGGTGGCTCCCCCAGGGGCAGGACAGGGACTGAGTACCTATCAGGGAGCATTTGGCAGACGCCCTCCCTGACTCTGTGGCCCAGCCACCGGGAGAGGTTCTGACTCTTTAGGGATTTCCTGTGACCTCTATAAATAACCCCCATGGCTGCTTCCCACAAACCGCCTCACCCTTCTTGGAAAAAAAAAGACTGTAGCCAAGGACCTCAGTCCAGCTGTGTGCCAGGGCCCCGGGGGAGGTGGGTGGGGCCCAGGCATCCTGCCCCAAGAGTGTCTCTCTCCCCACCCAGACCCCGCTCACGCCTCCTGGGAGCCCTCCAGCCCTCCCCATGTGGAGGACATCGGGACCCCCACTCCCACCAGACCTACGGTATTGCTTCTCATCTCTGGGTTTTTCGTATTTCCGAAAAACAGGCATAATAGCGACATTCACGGACACCTAAACCTCACGGAGTGACCCTTTCCCTCCGGGAGCCTCCCATGCTGGGGCAGCCCCAGATGGCCAAACAAGCAAACAAATCAGTAGTGACATATTGCAGTGAAGTCCGTGAAGACACGGGGTCAGGGGGCCCCCGTCGGTTGAGTGGCGGGAGAATTCTCTTCATACCCTGTGTTGGCCCTGGATACCTCCCAGGCTCTGCTCACATGCCCCCTGAAACCTGAGAGCTTGTACCTTCAATCATTGGAGGCAGGACCCTTTCTCTGATTCTGGAAAAGATCCTGACCCTATTTAAGATTCAGTTTCTGCCAGTGGCAGGGGAAGTTAACCATTTACCTGCTGCCACAGGGGTGTGGAAGCCTGGATCCCAGAGTCCTTAGAGGGCAGGAGCTTTGATAGGAGTTGCCGGGACGGCCTTTTGTTGGAGCAAGGCGCCCCCTGCTGGTCCATCACCAACATATCAGGCCGCTGGGCATCCCCGAATCAAAGGCCTCAAGGCCAATTCAAAGGGACACATGCGGGGCGCCTGGGTGGCTCAGTCGGTTGAGCTTCCGACTTTGGCTCAGGTCAAGGTCTCAAGGGCTGTGAGTTCGAGCCCCACGTCTGGCTCTGTGCTGACAGCTCAGAGCCTGGAAAACAACAACAAAGGGACACCTGCGCCCCTATGTTTATAGCAGCATTATCTACAGCAGCCAAATCATGGAAGCAGCCCAAGTGTCCATCCATAGATGAATGGATAAAAAGAGAAGTGGTATTTATACGTATATGATGGAATATCATTCGGCCACAAAAAACATTTGCGACAACACGGATGGAGTTGGATGGAGTTAGAGATTACAATGCTAAGTGAAACAACTCAGAGGAAGACAAATACCATATGATCTCACTCGCGTGTGGAATCTAAGAAACAAAACACACGGGCAGAGGAAAAACAAGAGACAAAGTAAGAGACAGACTCTTAACTGGAGAGAACAAACTGATGGCTACCAGAGGGGAAGTGG